TTGATTAATTTCAACACCTCTACATACAAGTGCTAAATACTATGCTACAATATGTATGTAAACTGGCCTATTGTACGAGAAACTACTGTTTAGTCTTCAGATCCAAAATGTTGGACCCATTCTGAAATGAACCTGTGGATTTTTCACCCAAATATGATGCATATAAAGGCGTTTAAAAAAAAAAAACCTTGTAACAAACTAGAGGGCAAGTGGACCTGTCCTGAAAAGGACCTTAGCACAATTTGACCCGTTGTGATCAAAGTACATGGATAATCAGACTCATTAGGCCTGATCAAATGATATGTGACAGTCATAAATGATTGTGATGAACAATGAAGCCGTAAAAATAGACGTGCTGTCACTATCATGTCACACTGTGTGCCATCAGGAAATGATGACTTACAGTGATTACAAGTTGATCAAATTATTAATAGTACTATGAGTTTAATATTAAAAATGTCATTTAATATTATTATGATCTATATTTTGTTCTAAAAAGAAGTTTTTTTCAGATTTATATATACTAAGATTGGAAATTAATTCAGAACAAATAAATAAACAGGTTGCACACTTTTGGGTTCGGCTACAGCACTTTTAGCCCCAGTTGCCGGAAACCTGACCCCTACCAAGGGAAATAGTCTGACCCAAAAACTTAGAGCCCTGACTCAGATTTCCGAGTCTGAGATGACCTCTTAAAACATATGAGACATTGGGAAAAAAGTGAAAAACAAAATCCAAAACAGAAAAGATAAAAATGGATCAAAAGTGAACAGAGTGATTTTACTAACTTATTTGTGGTACTCTGCTGGAGAGGAAACAGGATAAGATGGAGGGATGAAAAGGAAAAAAGGGCTATAAGGATAAGATCAACAAATAAGTGATCATCTGTATGCCACAGTCCAGTAAAAAAGTGATAAATCCCACAACTGTGTTTTTCTGCATTGTAAGTGTCAAAACAACTGTCAAAGTGAACTGCAGTTTTCCACCAAACATACAGTAGTTTACAGATGTAGAGTATGATGTCAGACCCCGCAAACAAACACTTAAATTATTTTTGAAATATTTATTTTTGATATTATATATATTATATTATACTATTACTATTAACATCGCTAATTTTTTTTTCATGCAGATTCCACAACAGCAGCCCAGAGAAAAAACCTCCTTCTTCTTCACTTGATTGATGATCCCAGTAAGTTGCAGGTGCTTTGGGTAGAATTAGCGATCACTTCATCATCACATCATTTAGCCTACTTGACATTTCTGTTCAAATTAGACTTAGATTAAAATTAGATTAAAAGATTTTCTGGATTTTTGTTTTTCTACCTGCTCCCTGGATTTTTTTGTCTTAGAATCATGAAACTAAGGTTGAATATGGATTAACTGCACAAATACAAGATGTCCATCTACCTCCTAGTTTTGTAAGATTAGCTGCATCTAAAACCTGCTGGCTAATTTCAAGAATATAGGTCACTCTGTTCGCAAAAGAGGATATAAAAAAAATGTTGTCTCACAAAAAAAAAAAAAAAATCAAGTTCCTTGTCTTTGAAGTACCTTAGGGTTTACATGAAGCACGCTTGTAACTATAAGGCTGAAGCTGCTTTTGCTGAATTGCCTTTGTTATTGTAACCAAGGAAACACATAGTCCCTGTTTCTATTGGCCTCTGTCCTCTTCCACATCTTGGGAGTATTGTATTAGTACCCTTTCTACAAGTGGCATCCTCTGTATACTACAATGTCTTACAGCTCCACGTTTGCTTGATAACTTCTAAAACTTTATCCTCGGGGTATATTTCCTGGACAAATATAATATAATATAAGCTAAGTTATAAGAGTGTCCCACAACAAATATCTCTGTTCTTTTCTCAATTTGTTTATTTTTGCTTTTTTATCACTCAAGGGCAATTTTCTTTGCATTGGCCATATGTGTGATATGCAAGCTTACTGTCTATGTGTTCCCTAAGCTTATTTTTCTACTGCAGCCCATTCAGTTGTCACTGAATCAATTACAGTAGCGTGATAACACCAGTGTGTGCATGGCTACTACACATCTTTCCCTATTGCGGTCCATTCCTACAAGCCCTGCAGTGTATTTATAGATGCAGTATACTTTGTGCTTTATCAAATAAATAATAAAACACAGACATGGCCTGAAGAGCAAAAGAGAAAGGTAATTCATACTTGAGTGGAGCCCATATATATAAGAAGCCTGAGTGCCCTCAGTGCATTGTGCGTGTCATCGTGCATTTTCGACATTATGCACTTATGTAATATTAAGAGCAACATACTTATAAACGGCAGCCATATAACTAAGCAAATGGAGGGAAGCAGTTTCAGTTATTTTTCTTCAAAGGTCTCGCTTCTCTTTCCCAGATTTTCTTTGAATTGGAAATTGGATGAGAGCCTACACATATTTGTTGAAGTGCCTTCATGACAGAAACCGACTTAAGACTCTGAGCCACTGTATTTATTGAGGAGATTAGCTGACAGGCATTTAGCCAAAGAAGTGACCTTCCAGGAAAGTCAGTGATGTAGTATATTGTCCAATCTGCAGTTTTAAGTTGTAAAGTGTTGGTTTCCATTTGTAGTTCAATTAGCAGTGATGGTTATGTTAGTTGGTTGGTAAAGAAATTCCTTTTCAGTAGCAGTATAAAGGTGCAGGGGAAATTGGGCATCAGATATGATGTTTTTTAAGGATTATCTCATTGTATCTCAAATACTTTGACAATTTAGATTATCAGGCTTGTTCCAGGTCCCCCCCACACCCACTTTCCATCTCTTCTCCCTACCTCTTTTCTCCTCTGCTATGTTTCTCGCTAGTTGGTGTCTGACCTACTTTCTCAGATTGCTGCAGTGCTCTCCCCCTCTGTATTGTGAAAACACACTCACACACTAAGGTTCTCAATCACCCTCCTACCTCTACCCCTATACCAGCCCCCCTGTCCCACAGAAGCAGGATAGCACCAGCGGGACATGCTCAGGATGCTCCCTCATTGGCTAAGCACCAAAAAACCTTCACATGGACAAACCAGGGCAACGAGGAGAGTTTTGCCCTGAAGTGTTATCCACTTATTTTTTTTATGTTACTGTTGCTGTTATTCCTTACGATGGCATTAATGATGTAAGTAATGTAATAACAGTTAGACTGAGGAGATTTGCAGTAAAAAGTAATGAGGCTGAAATGAGATCTGTCCTCAAAGTGATTTTTTTTTTCATGCTGCTGTGCTTTTAGACCTGTCAAATGCTGTCATTACACATCATCACATACACACACACACATACACACAACAGAAAATAGTGGGAAAACTGCAGTAACATCATATCTTCTATGTAGGCTACACAGGTGGAGACACAGTAGGAGGCGGACAGGTGGGAGGTAGACCAGACGATGTGGATCCATGCGTAGAGACGCACAAAAGAAAAAGTTGAAGCACCCCAGAAGAAAGGACAGAGCATGATAAAAGTGGGAGAAGGTGTGAGGACCGAATGCCAAAATAGTGAGCACAATCCAAACGCTGACAGAGAAAAGTATCCTGAGCTAAGCTTTGCTGAGAAAAGCCGAGGTAGCTCATCGTTCCGATGATCTCGAAGTGATGTGACTGTGTCATGCAAAGAGGGTTTTTCTAAAAAGACAAGGAAGAGGACAAGAAGCACAAAAGAAAAGGGTAAGAAAAAGAGGAAAAGCTATCAGGAGATTGGAGGCTAATAGTAAATGGCAGGCCTTAGCCATGAAAGCAACTTCTGTCAAGCAGAGGGACAGACGGAGTTCTGTGTGTATTTTGTCTACATGTTGGAAAATGTTAGAATCTTGTCCACACGAATGAATTTGACTCAAGGTGCACTATCATGTCAAATACACCCATAATGACAAGTAAAGCCTGATGTGACTATCCAACACAGAAGGTAATTATATGGACTCACACTTTTTAATATAGAATGTTGCTTTGCTAAATTTGTATACACAAAAAAAGTTGCCCAAAACTGTTTTGTTTAGACAGAGCTGACACTTTAAAAACAACTGTCCCATGTTACATGCATGCTTCCAGACGCTGCTTTGTTCCCTGTAGCAAGAAAATACAGCTCCAGGTAATAGGAAACTAAAAAAAAAATAAAGACAAAACACAAAGGAGCTGTTGATAAATGCAGCTCAAAATGAAAACAATATACACTAAATAAATAAAAAACTATAGTTGATTTTATCCAGACCATTGTATCATTTTTACTCAGACAGCCCTGAATTAACATACTCCCACACTAAAAACACTATTTTTTAAACATTCTGCCTTTGCTTCTCTCGCTGGTACAGTGTGAATACAGCTAAGGCACCAGAGGTTTGTGATTCAGCTGCAAAGCCTCTCCTGATTTGTAGATTCGCCCTCTTTCTCTAAATTAAACTTTGGTGTCGGGTGGGAAATCTTATACACACAGGAAATAACACATCAGTGTTTCAATCTCTAAACCTGAGACTGAAATACAAAACTTGTTCCTGAACAACGGTGAGGACAGCTGTTCAGCTATTCAATGGAAATCAAAAATACATAAAGGTCTGAGAAGAAATTGAATGCTGGGTTGCACATTAACATGCTAAGTGCAGCTTTAACCTATTCTACTACGCTCTAAT